TCAATTTCCATTCCTTCTGACAACTACGGAAAAAAAAAAAATCAGTTGCATTTCATTTATCTCAATCCCAATTGCTTCACATAGTTTTTCATATTTCAACTCGACTCCAAAAATCCCAACACCTTACTAAAACATTTAACATCGAACACCTAACAGGCCAACAATTTACTGAAATTGCTTCAATTTAGCAGATGAAATGGTACCTCTGATTTGACCTTCTAACCAAAAACGTTGTTTTGATTGATTTGCAGATGAAATAGATGCAGTATGTAACTTTAGAATGCAATAATCATGTAGTTTGCAAACAAACAGAAAAAAGAATGCAATAATCATAACATAGAGAACTACAGTTCATACTTCCACTTCAAATACAACAAAAACATTCACATTCACGAGCAATTCTCAACGAACATCATAAGCCCATCATAAACCCCATAAAGCAAAAATTAAGCAACGAAATGTGCAGAATAACAGGGGAATTGATGGTAAATTACTGAGCGCTTTATTCATTAAATAGAAAACTCAACTTATTTGAATTCTCAAATAGCTCAAGTTTCGTGTACCTCCTACGAAGACCTTCGACGCTATGCCTCTGCAAGAAATGAAAAGTGGCGGAGCTAAAGAAGACGATGGTAGATTAACGGAGGCTGGCTTCGAGAGATGAGAAGAAATGTTCTTTGACATGTTTCTAATGGTGGTCATTGTTGGATTAACCGCTGTGGTTAATGGGTATGATATATCAGTAGTGGTTTAGGATCAACAAGAACGTATGTAGAAGAAGTAATTATTGGTAGTGAAATTATTGCTATCTTGATTGATATTTCAAATTAATTTATATTTGTTCTAATTTGTTTATGATAAAGTTATACCGTTCTAATTTATTTCCAAAAATCATTTTGTAAAATGATACACTAACACTAATGAAAAGTCATCTGAACCATAGGTAATCTATACTTATATAATAAGGTGTACCATTTACAAAATTTAGTAAGTTGAAAAGTCAATGCAATAAATGCATTACTATTTTGAGCAACATAATATAATATCATATCTATACTTATATAAAAGGAGATTCTATTTACTACATTTACTATTCCGAAAAGTCGACTGCATTAAATACCATTACTATTTTGGTATTATAATATTTTATTTATTTAATTGATTTATTAATTTGTTTTATTTTAAAAAGGTAAGTACAATAAAAAGATTTTAATAATAAAAAAATTAAATACCAAATAAAAATATACACTTTGACTTATCTGATTATATTTGGTATTTGGTTATACCAAATATATTCCTATTTAGTATATACATTAAATACTTACTAAAGTATTTATTTGTTTTATTTGTCAAAGTTAAGTATAGATTTGTTTATATTATCAAATTATAAAAAAATATTAAATCCATATTGTAAAAAAAAAAATCATATAATTTTATAACAACTCTACTACACTATTTAACAATATTCATTTTTTATTATATTAATAATAATTAAATATTATATGGTTGACAACAATAAGTAAAACTGTTACTTTATTTTATATCAAGGGATAAATTTATATGCTAAAATTAAATTTTTATTAGTATAAATGTTTTAATGAGATAATATATTAATTATTTTACAAGCTAGCCCTAACATGCTCATATTTAATGTTTTAAAAGATGTAGAAAAAAAATTATAATAACTATATTGTTTTTTAGACTTAAACGTTGATTAAAAGAGGTAAAAATTCCTAATTTTTTAGACTTAAACGTTGATTAACACCATAGATTGAGAGTCTATATTTAGTAAAATTCCTAATTGTAATAAAAAAAAATAATTTTTGCTATATTTTAGAATATCTTTAAACTCATTATAAAAAAAAAAAGAAAAAAAAAACTACAATGAAAAAAGCAAGTCAGCTATATATCGATTTGTTGTACTCCTCAAATCACATTCACAATTTGGCTACAAAGAAAGGAAACTCATTGATTAAAATATTATTTTGTCAGTAGTCTTAATGTACAAGAGACTTTAAGACTCCACTTGAATATTGTAAAACTTTTATTGAACATTGTACAATTTTCTTGCGTATTATAAACTCTTATTGAATATTGCATCTTATAATATAATATTCTCCGAATAAATATATCCCGTGCTTCGCACGGGTCACGTACTATATATATCCCGTACATTTTTCTTTATTCATGTATATAATTATAATCCTGGATAAATAGCCTTAAAATTGTGCACCCCGTGCATCGCACGGGCTCTGTACTAGTTCAAGATTATATAAAGGTCATGTTTTAAAATAAAAATAAAAAATACTCCATAAAATTAAAATAATGTGAATCTGTCCCTTAACACCTTATGGAGTAGAAAACTAGCTTCGTCCCACTTACCCTCTCCGTCAAGTTTCATCAAATTGCAAAGTCAATGGAGAAATGACAGACATAAATTGTTTTATTCAAAGTGAAATTCAACAACATCACTAACACAAATTATTATGTAAAACAATATAATTATAATACCCGTCAGTCACATCTGTTTAACAAAAACGAAGATTTACACATTGAAATGTAACACTTTTGAAGACATGCGTATAGAATGAAAAAAAGAAATATTATCCAACTATTAGATTTATCTAAGGGCATCTGGTGAGAGAGGTCGAGCTATGCAAGCTACGGACAATGGGACCGAGAGAACAAGGTATCCTGTAGCTACTGACATGGCTATAACAAAAATTCTGCAGCAACTTAAATGAAAAAAAAAAGAATATCAATGTGAAACCTAAATTTACAATCTTTATTAGTCTATAATAAAAATTGAGTCTTTCTTCGAAAAACCAAATCTGAGTTACTTTGTTTCTTTTAACGTGCTCATGATAATGAAAGAAAAGAAAATGGAAGACTAATGTGAAAGTAGGGAGATCATCGTAATTAGCTTGAAAATGTAAAAACTGTGTGAAAAATGGAAGAGTTTGTTGTTTTGTGCCCATGGTGATGGTGGAAAAGAAATTTATACAGATGGAAGCATAAATGGATGAGCTATTTTTGGCTTACGGGGAGTTGGTTTTGGGGGGGTTTGATTTGGTGTTGGATGTATATGTTTTTGTTGTGTGGCCGTCCCGATTCCTCAGCTCGTTCCCCGGGCTGCGCCACCTCACAAGCCACGCACCAGGTCCACCGTCGCAAAGCCTCGCCTATGCACAGAGGCTCGCCGGAAAGCTCCACTCAAGAGCTTTATCCGGCGACAGGAAGCTAAGCGACGACGACGGCACAATGGCGGCACTCCGACGGATCTCAGCGGCTACAATCACACTCAAGGTCACAAAGAACAAAAGAGCGAGAGAGAATAGAGAGAGATCGAGATTTCAGTCTCACAGAGAGAAAGAGAGAGAGATCGGGGCGCAGCAGCAGGAGAGAAGGGAATGAGATAAGAAATTAGGGCAAGAGTGGTGTGCAAGGCTATTTAAGGCTTGAGACGAATGGATGGGATTTAATCCCTAAAATCCAACGGTTCACATTAATCTTCCAGGTGGGTAAGACCTTCTCCAACGGTACTGCAAAACGCAAAATTTGCAGTACGGAGAGCTCCAATTTGTGCCAAAAACCGATCGCAAATTGCGATCTTCACCTTCTCTCTCCTCAGATCGACGCATATTTGCGTCGGAACGCAAATTATGCGTTCAATATTTTTTTTTTTATATTTTGGTCCTTTAGGTTTATTTAATTTATAAAAACTGATTTTTGTTTTTTTTTTTATTTTCTTTAGTTTTTATTTAAATAGTAAAAATGATAAAATAAATAATTTTATAAATAAAAAATTAAGTTTAAAGAATACAAAAAAATTTCTTTTTTTTTTTACTTTCATGAAATTTATATAATATGATATTTAAAATAATTAATATGATATTATTTTATATTTGTTTATAATAGAGTAATTATAAAAGACTATCTATTTTTACTTAATTGTTGTAATTTTTAATTTCTCATCTTCTGTGTTGTAATTTTTAATTTTATTTAGTGTGTTGTAATTTTTAATTTCTCATCTTGTCCGTGTGGTTTTTTAATTTTATCTTGTGTTGAAGTTTTTAATTTATAATGTTGTGCGTTGTAATTTTTAATATTATATTGTGTGTTGTAATTTTTAAATTTTATTTTTAATGACTATTTATTTCTCCGATTTTATTACATAAAGTTTAAATTGAATTGAAAATAATAGTGTGGTATAATTTGTAAAGTTGTAAAATATGTGGGTAGTATTGAAAAGTTGTAAAAGTTGATGTAAAATAGAATATTCCGAGAATATTCTTTTGGGTTGGAAAATGGGTTTTTCGGTTGGAGATGAATTACTGCAAAATGAGATTTGTACTGCAAAATGAGTTTGAGTTTGGTGTAATCCGTTGGAGATGCTCTAAGGGCCAGGCCCAGAGAGATTGGGCTGAGACGTCCTTGGGCCTGAGATAGGGATTTGGTTTTTGGGCCAAATTTCCCAACAGTTTTGAATATTTAGGTTTTGGAGGTTCAGATAATGGAGGCTGGAGCAAGAATAGTTGTTGCTAATCTATTACTATATAATACGGAGAAGAAAAATTATTTGAACAATCCGAAAAAAATCATTTCGTTTTCCCGCTTAAAACCTGTTTTTCCCCCTAATATTGTGTTTGAAATTTTTTCAGATTCCGCTTAGATCTGTTTTTCGAAACTTTGAATTCTTTCGAAAACTGTTTTTGAATGGTATTCCTTTCATTTTGGATGAGATTTCTTCCCAAATTGAATGAGTCAACATTTATCTAAAATATTTTTATTTGATTCACGTTTATCCCGCCTTAAACACTTTTTTCCGAATTTCAAAAAAATTGAACGAGTCAATAATTATCTAACCAATTTTTACTCTTTGTAACACATGTTTTCCTTTATCCTTTTGATTTAAATCCCTACAAGTCCGTTAGTTTAATTGGTACCCTTTCAAAATATTTTTTTTTTCTATATTTCTGTAGGAGTAATCTAATAATCTTTTGAGTTTGACAGCAGATATTCCTAACACCATTTTTGGAAGAATAATTTCCTTTTGAAATGAAAAAGATGATATGTGACAAAATTGACAATATTTATTAATTTATAATATAAATCAATTGAGTATCAATAAGTGCAAACAAATCTTCTTGATTTGGGGCCATTAATATTTTGTATAGATAAAATTACATTAGATTCTAGCTATATTTAAGAATTTATTACCCACTAAATTCGTGAAAATTAAAAGTAGTTAGCATATTTTTATATATTTTCAAATATTATTAGTTATTAGACAATAATCATAACATTATAAATACCTAAAAAATCGTTCAGTGGTTACATTTGAGATAATTAATGTTTTTTACATATATTTGTATATATAGAGAGTTCGAGATAATTGATTTTGTTCAAATATTATTAGTTATATTATTTTGCTCCTTTAAATTTATTTTTAATGTAGTCATTAAATTAAAAAATAGATCTTTCCTCACAAAATCACATATGCATTTGAGTATTTTCATAATTTATTTTTAATGCGGTCATTAAATTAAAAAATAGACATTTTCTTACAATCACATATGCATTTGAATATTTTCATAATTTTTATGCTGGAGACAAGTTAATAAAAATGATTAGATATCAAAAAAATACAATGACACGCTATTTAAATCTCTACACAATCCATTCTTTAGCAAGATAACTGC